CTTTATGCTTTCTGCATTATTCAATAATTTGTCCAGCGAATCCTTCAATAACAAAAGTCGAGGCTTTTTTCCAGCTTGAGAAATGCTGAGCATGTTCTTCCTTTTTGATTTTCTTTCATCCTTATTGCTAGCTAATTCTGTGGGGCCTGACGTAGGATCAGCACGGGACTGCTAACTGCAAAGTCAGCAGTTCAAACCGACCAGTCACTCTTAGAAACCCTATACAGGGTTGCTATGAGTTGGAACCAGCTCAACAGCACTTAACAATTCAGTGGAAGACTTTTCACCTTCCTTGGAGGAGAGCAAAGTTCATATGTAACCACTGCCTGTCCACAGTGGAGGCTTGCATGTTGCTCTGATGCTGAACAAGTTTTAGCAGAGCTTCCAGAAAGGCCTGGTGATCTACGTCTGAGGAAATTAGTCAGTGGAAACACCCTGGATCACACAGTTCAAGCCACAACCTATCATGGGATGGCTCTGGACTAGGCAGTATTTCCTTACTTGTGGGGGGGGGGGGGGATGGGGGTGAGGTCAGCATGAGTCACAGGCCAACACCACAATAGCTTACAATGACAATTTCATGTAAAAATCTGTATTCCTAGTTTCTCTTGGAAAATAGGAAGTTCTGCCAATACCAGGCAGCAATTTTCTGATGACCTGAAGCTGAGTGGCCTCAAGGCATGTGTTTTCTGGTTCTTCCGGTACCTACTACCTCTTAGAGTCTCCCTGCCCAACTCTCCCAGGCCTCTCCCTTGCTCTCCTGACCCCAGCATTGGTGTGGGTGCAGCCTCTTGTGTCTTTGCCCCTAGAAGAAATGGACTCCAAGCTGCCTTTGTAAAACCAGAGGTTGACTCTGGTGAGCTCTGAAAGCCGGCCAACATTCCAAAGCCAATTAAGGGTCTAGTCCCCACTGGACCCACAGTGGGAGCCGTGTTTAAGGTCAAGGAGGGGAAGGAGACTGGGGATGCTAACCATAATTTCACACACCACCCACCTCCAGGTCTATATCACTGTGCTGGACGAGAATGATAATAGCCCTCGGTTCGACTTCACTTCTGATTCAACTGTCAGTGTGTCTGAGGACTACCCCGTGGGCCAGCGTGTGGCCACTGTCAAGGCCCGGGACCCCGATTCTGGCAGCAATGGGCAGGTAGGCTCCAAGTGAAATGCCCAGCTCTTCTCTGTGACTCTGGGGTCTCCCACCACTCTTCAACTGGAGGGGGGTCATCATGCCTCTGTCCCCAAGCAGGAGGGGAGGGTCATCCCCAAACAGGACCGCCCTGCAGTCAGGAAGCCAGGCAGAGCAGCCTCATAACAGAGGGCTAGCACCTGGTGGTTGACCATGGCTCGTTGATGTGAAAACAAGAAGCTAAGCTTCCTGGTGACTCTTACATCACCCTCTACACACTTGTTGTCGAGCCCTGGTGGCATAGTGGGTTACACATGAGGCTGCTAACCACAAGGTCAGCAGTTCGCATCCATCAGCCAGAAAGAGACTTTCTGCTCCACCAAAGACGTACAGTTTCAGAAACCCTTGACAGGGCCTCTGTGAGTCAGAATCGACTCAGTGGCAGAATGTTTGGTTTTCTGGTTTATGTACCTCTTATGCCAACCCAGCCCCAGCTACTCCTCCCCCTCCTGCCTCTCCGTGCCCCCTTGCTCCAGATGGAATGTGTTCGTTCAGATCCTCATTCCCTTTGGCACTTAAAAGCTGTGTAACAGTGCTCAGCAGTTGCGTGGGCTTGAGCCTGCTTTCTCTGAACTGAAGAGAACAGTGCCTCTGGGTCAGGGCTATTGTCAGCTGGATACAGTCCGTAGCACCCCAGCACGTGGCTGGCTCATAGCAGGTGCTCGAGGGGATAAAGTGCTGGAACCAAAAGGTTGGTTTGAACCACAAGGTTAGCAGTTCAAACTCACCTTGGAAAACTCCTTGGAAATCCTATACAGGGTCACTTTGAATCGGGACCAACTCGATGGCACTTAGCAGCAACAACATAATGTTAGTATTTTTCCCACTGACCCTGAGTAAACATCAGTGTGGTGGGGCTCACCGCAGTCCTCCTGACCCCTAGACAATATGCGGACCTTCCCCAGGCCCCGGAACTGCCATATGCCCTGCACTGTCACCTAATTTGAGGGAATCCTGGTTTGGCACTGTGAGTTAATGCACTGTACTACAAGGTCACTTTGAACCACAAGGTCAGCTGTTCAAGTTCACCAGCCACTCCTCAGAAACCCTGTACAAGGTCACTGTGAGTTGGAAGGGTTGCTATGTTGAAATAGGGTCGGCATTTATCAACAACTAACCACTTTTGCATAAAACACATTACTCTCAGGTGCCCTTGCTGTGTAGGGGGCCCAGGTGGATAGTAGAAATCAGGCAATCCACCTTGGCCTGACCTTCTGCCTCCCTTCTTGTTTTTTCCCCTCCCCCTCTCTCCTCCCTGACAGGTAGTCTTCTCCCTGGCCTCTGGCAATACTGCTGGGGCCTTTGAGATCATCACCACCAATGACTCCATTGGCGAAGTGTTCGTGGCCAGGCCCCTGGACAGAGAAGAGCTGGACCACTACATCCTCAAGGTACATCCTCAGGCTGGGAGGTCTCCCATGAGCACACCCTCGTGGGCAGCCCGCACCCCTCAGAGCTGAGAGCACACGTGAGGCCAACCAGGAGAAGGCTTCCAGGATGAAGCTCAAAGTTCAGAGCAGGAAGCCACTGAGGTGGCTGCCCATCTTAGATAAGAGCCAGGAGAAAGCTTAGCAAAGCTCAGAAAGCCCTCACTCAGCCTGACCATGGGTTAAGTTATCTAACCTGCCTGAGCCTCATTTCTTCCACCTGTGCAATGGGCAGATGCGCCCCACCCCCTACACCTTCCCAATCTGCCTCTGCCAGGTGAAACACAATGCAGCTGTGAGCCATCTCGAAGCAACTATTAATGAGAGAGAGAGAGAGCCCTGAAGCGCTAAACTGTGAAGCTTCAACTCACAGAGAGAGGCTCTGGTTACTGCTGAAAAGATTGGGGCTCTTCCCCTGTTTACCAAAGACCAGATCTCAGAATATGGAAACAAAAGGCAGGAGACCTGGCTCAGGGGTGGAATCAGGAGGTAAAGACTTAGGCACACTGGAATCAGATTCCAAACCAGGGTCCCACATAAGAGGAGGGTTAGACAGGGATTGTTCGTAGAAGGGAGGGAGAGAAGTTGGAAGCCAGGCTGCCCAGGGGCTGGATGGGCCAGGTCCTCACTGCAGAGTGCACAGACTCCCCATTCCTGATGCCCTACCACCACCTCCCTTTAGTCCTGACTTCAATCTTCCTTCCTATTCACAGGTCGTGGCTTCTGACCGTGGCACCCCTCCACGGAATAGGGACCACATTCTGCAGGTGACCATCCTGGATGTGAATGACAATCCCCCTGTGATTGAGAGCCCCTTTGGATATAATGTCAGTGTGAATGAGGTGAGCTCCCTCCGGACAGCTAAGGTGCTCAGTGGGTGTGAGCCGACCAGGTTCACAGAGGGCCTGTTTAAATGCTAGCCCTCCCACTAGACTCTGGGGTCTTGGAGATGGGACAGTGGCCGAATCATTCAAAATAACCTAGCGTCTCCAACACAGGGAACTCGGTGCCTGTGGGAAGGAAGAAGAGAAAGGGCAAGGGAAGGAAAAGAAGTTTCCTTTCACCTAATAGAACTCAAGGCGACCCCATGTGTTACAGAGTAGAACTGCCTATAGGGTGTGGTTTTCTTGGCTGTAATCTTAAGGGAGGTACATTGCCAAGCCTTTTCTCCTGTGGATGGGCTTTAACAGCAAACCTTTAGGTTAGCAATTGAGCCCAAACTAGCATTACCAGGAGTCAGCATCTACAAACAATAGGGAGCTGAGGCTTACCTCAGCTTTCTAGAGTGCCCGGTTAAGCCATTTCACCGTCAGGAGTAGGTGTATGTGCTAGGCTTTGCCCCAAAGACCTAGAATTCAGAATAACCACTCTTCTGTTCTCCTCCCAGAATGTGGGTGGGGGCACCACTGTGGTCCAAGTGAGAGCCACAGACCAAGACATTGGACTCAACAGTGTCCTGTCCTACTACATCACCGAGGGCAACGAGGACATGACCTTCCGCATGGACCGCATTAGTGGTGAGATCACCACTCGGCCTGCCCCTCCAGACCGAGAGCACCAGAGCTTCTACCACCTGGTGGTCACCGTGGAGGACGAGGGCACCCCCACCATGTCGGTAAGTCATGGGGGTAACAGAAGGTGGGAGGGGGTGGACACAGGGCAACTTCTCCATGCAAGGAGAATCAAGATGGGTAGAGGTGGAACGCCATGCATTCGGGAGAATTCTCGAAAGCTCCTTCGTCGTATATTCAAACGGCAGCCCCAGTATTTATGGAGTGCCTGTGGTAGGCAAGGAGCTGGCTGTCACAATGGGTGAAGTGCCGGGCTGCTAACCGAAGCCTTGCGGTACGAACCCACCAGCTGCTCCACAGGAGACAGTTGAGGCAGTCTGCTTCTGTGAAGATTTACAAACCCGGAAAACCTATGGGGCAATTCTACCCTGTCCTGTAGGGTCAGTCGGGGTCGAAGCCACTTGGTGGCTGTGGTTTGGTGTTCTTTGCAAAGCTGGAGTTCGCTACCCCTCGGAGCTTCTGTGTAATGTTGTCTGCTCTCACAGAGCAGCTGTGTGTGAGGACGCCGGTTGAGCCCCGTCCATCAGGGTCTGGTCAGGAAGCAAGTGATAGCTGAAGGTCCAGCCCATACTCATGTGCCAAGCTGTGTGCCTTTGGGGCCACACTGAGCTTCTGTGCCAAAATAGCAAAGGTGCTCTTGGGCGTTTTCCTTAAAACCCTGTTGGCGTGACATACTGTTATGACTGTCTGGTTTGGAGGGGGCTTGATGGAATCTGTGGTCTAGTGTCGTGCTTGCTTCAGGGTGATTCGTGCCTCCTGGTCATAGACATGGCTTGTGGCTGCAAATAATTGAACTGTGGAATCATAAATAAGTCAGAGTATGTATTTCTGACATGAAAACTCTGGAGGGGCTTATGAATGTTAGCATGCTGAGTGATGTCAGAGCTAATCTTTCTTGGCCTTTCCCTCATGGTTTCAACATGGCTACAATAACTCTATCCACCACTCAAGGTGTAATGTTCAACATTTGCAAGGTTGGAGGAGCTGGAGGCCTGAGGAGCTGGATGGTCTGGGCTGATGGGCAATGGGGTGGGAGTTGTTTATAAACTGAGAGCAGGAATTTGCGTTCAGGAGCACTGAACCCACTGTGGTCACAAGCAAGCCAGAATCTGAGTGTCGACTTTGTTATCCGTAAAAGAGATCATAATATTTACTTCATTAGAGTCCTGGTGTGGCGCCGTTAGATAAGCACTGGACTGCTCGGAAACCCTATTACAGGGTCGCTATGAGTCAGAGCTGACTTGGAGGCATTTACCAACAGCAACAAGGTGTTTGGGGGATCAAATTGGATCATGTCTATGGAAGTACTGGTAAATCGGGAGGAGTATTATATCCATTATTTATTGCCACAATAATGCTGCGTTACAAACCAAACAGAACATAGGGGCATACAACAACCACTGTTTCTTTAACCCCAGTTTTGTAGGCTGCTAATACATTAGCCTGGCTTAGGTAGGCAGTTCTTTGGGCCTCTGCTGCCCTCTGGCCAGTTCCAAGTTCAGAGTATTATTGCATTTGAGAAGACCATGCTCGGGCCAGGTGAAGTTGTTAAAACCAGAGCTGCATGTCAGCTGAGTGGCTGTGCTTCTGGGTGTTGGCTGGTGATGAGCTGGGATTCAGGGGCAATTGGTCCACCTATCTCTCCTCCAGCCAACAGAGCCAGGAATCAGGGAAAGAGCTTCAAGGATAAAGCTCTCTAAACTGGGGTCTGGAATTTAACTACCAAAAGTTTCCCAAAAGCCAAGAGAATCGGACATCTGAGCACCCTGATAGCACAGCTGTTCTGAGTCCCCCTTCCCCTGCCCAGTCTCTGCTTTCTCGCCTTCACTCCCCTTTTCCTAGTTTCCTGAAAGCAGGGCATTCCTGCTAACCGTCTGCTGGGCTCCACCCAGCTGTCAGCCCCTATCACCCAGGGCTGGGAACAGCTGTGCTACCAGGGGCATCCGGGCCAGCCCCAGGCCTGTCACACAATGATGTACTATCCAGCCAGGGAAGCCATTGTGCAGTGTACCCCTCTGGCTAGCTCCAGGTCATGGGCAGGGAGGCCAGGCTTGCGGGTAGGGTAGTCGAAGTGACTGCCAGGAAGGCCCCTACAAGAGGAAGGGCTGGGTCCAGGGAGGAAGGACGGAAGGCAACTGGGAGGTCAGGGGCTGAGCCCCAGCTTCAAAGACACTTTGACGGGGAATGAGGAGAGGGAGGGGGTGCCCAACAATAGCCTCCCTCCCTGTACATGAATCGCAACAAGCAGGTTATACAATCCCAGATAACAACCTTGGCTCCTCCTCCTCTGTGTGTATAGGGGGAGCCAGGGACCCTAAAGAAGTCACCTGTCCTGTTATGAGGACAGAATGTTTCCCACTAACACCTTCTGTTACAAGAGTCCCCAGCCGCAGCCTGTGAGGTGGGAACATTGCTCTTGGCAGCTCACTTCAGCTCATTAGGGCAAAGAGCTCCTCTATCTATTCAAGTTGAACCTTGCTATTATTTGCCAAGCCTGCTCCCCAGAATTCAAGGAAACCCCAGCCTCACCCCTCCCCTGTGCTGTACACCAATTAGGCCAGCGTTCTCTGGACCAGGATGAATAAGTCCAGACCCTGCCCTTATCCCTGCTCCATGAGTGATGGTTTGTAGCTGCTCAAATACGTCAAATGTAACAGATTCAGTTCCTTCAAGACACCCTGCCCAGTGGTCAGCTAAGAGCTTCTCCCTTCCTCCTCCTCCTTCTGGTTTCTAAAAGCCTCTCTCACTGCAAGCAAGTTGGGGGTACCTGGGCCATCACACCCAACAGGAGTCCTGTGACTTCAGGGTTACCAAGTAGAAAGGGGGTTGACAGGAGGGGGAACCCACCACATCAGCAAAAGAGTCCTGTGGATCCTTTGAAGGCCCCAGCCAGGTGAGGCAGTACACAGACAGGGGTGTTCTGATTTAAGTGGGTGACGTGATGACCTCTGGAAACAGGTTCATCTCCCAGGCCCACAGGCAGATCCACTGTGAAGGCCAAGCCAGGCGCTGGCCTACAGGAACATGGAATTCAATGAAGAGGAAGAAACACTGGCCTGGGAAGCAGGAAACCCAGACTTGAGCCTCAGCTCCACCACTCACTTGGTATGTGATAAAACACAAACCTTTTGGGACCTCAGTTTCCTCTTGTATTAAATGGAGCCACCCCCCATGGTTTGCTGGGGACGAGGGTGGGTGGAGGGGAAAAACACATGTGATAGTGTTTTGGAAAGCATATTATTAAACAGAAAAGACAAAAGCTATGGAACACAGACTACCACTTCTCTTTTCTGTGCCCAAAGCAGACATTACTAGCTGAACTCAGCACTTTCTAACTATTCTGAGATATCTCAGAATCCCTCACAACACATATTCCAAAACCCCATACCAGTAGATTCCAAAACTCCATACCAGTAGATCAGAGTTACTGAACAAAATCAGCTGTCCTCTGGCCTGCACAAGCTTAGGGCATTACTGCTGTGGAGACCTCCCGCCCTCCCTCAGGCACAGGTGAAGTTGCTAGAACTAGCAATGGTGTAAAGTCAGACAAGGGCCCTATGAGCTCTCTGTGAGTGGTCCGGACAACAGAACCCTCATATCCCAGCTGCTATGGATCAATGACCCGCTCTGCAGCTAGATCCATGGTTTTGGGGTCCAGCCATCCTGGAGCACACTGAGGAGCTGGGAGGACAAAGTGGGAGAGAGAGGCAACAGTACAGAGTGTTGAGTACACAAATCGTAGCCAGACACTCAGCTTGTGTCTATCTTAAGAGACCTTGCACCCAGCATTCTGGCTGGCAGCTCCAGTTCCTCTTTTGGGGTTCCCTAGGCAAATCTGAGGAGTCCTGGTATGGCACTGTGGGTTAATGCACTAGAAAGCAAAGCTGTTTGAACTGCAAAGTTGGCAGTTTAAGCTCACCAGCTGCTCCTCGGAAACCCTAGACAGGGTCGTTATGGGTCGGAACCGACTCAATGGAACTTCGCAACAACAATGGCTGGGAACTGACTCGATGACACTTAACAACAACAGGCAAATCTGAATCCTGCCTCTAATTCCTGACTAGATGTTTGCAACTGCTTTGTGCTTAATGAGTAACTTAGAAAGGTTGGCAGTTCAAACCCACCCAGCAGTACCTTGGAAGAAAGGCCTGGTCATCTGCTTCTGTGAAGATGGCAGCCACGAAAGCCCTAACACTTCTAATCTGTATCACATGGGGTTGCCACGCATAGGAATCTACTCAGCAACTCTTAATTCCTAATTTATCTCCAAACAATTAACTAATTCGCAAAAGCAGACTTGGCTCCCAGGACCTCAGGCAGGTCCCTGAGCCCCACAGTGCAAACTTCCCTGAGGCCCCACGGCTCCCCTCAGCCTCCTGGGAGGCACCCTGTCCCCCACCCCCTACTTGGCTCCTTGTGCCCCAACCACAGGTACTAAAACATATCACCAGGACTGGTATCCCCAGGGTGGCCCCAGCCCAGGATTATTCTACCGCACCACCTGTCCTGGCCACACTGGAAGGTCCCTGGGACAGCTGCTGAGGGCGGGGCTTGTGGGAATGGATGAAGACGGAGCCCAGAGTTCAGAGCAGATCTCGGTGAAAACAGGAAACCACTAAATTGAGCCACCTTTGCTAGTAAGGGTCCAGAGAAGAGCAACATGTATAAGGTAGAGGAAGTGTGGTAACTGTTCTTCTCGGCTCCTCCCTCTTATTGCACAGTGGAGGCGAGACAGGGGAGGGTCTGGCAGCCAAATTCTTAGAAGTCATCTCTACCTTGAGATCAGAAGCTAAGGGCCAGGATCAGGCCAGCCTCCCAGAGGGGCTAGAATCCTCTCTATCGGCTCGTCATTCCACCCCAGGGGTAGCCCAGCACCCCAAGAGCAGTGAGAACAGCACCCCCCTTCTTTGGCAGCTAGCTCTGGGTGTCCATGGGGGCAGGGTTTTGGTTTTCTGCCAATTTGAGTTTGTCCTATCTCAGGGTCTGGGCTCACCCTCTTCTCAAGAGCCCCTGGTCCCAAGCACAGCTCCAGGCCTGGCTGAGACATCCAGACTGGCCTGTGCTCTTGGGCCTAACAAGTGGACTGGGAAGTAGGGCCGTGTGTCCAGCAGGGCTCCCAGCTCTGGCCTCAGGGCCAGGTGGCTTAATGCTACCTCAGAGCCTAGAGCTCTCCTCCTTCCTGGAGGAAACGGGGTCTACTTTTCTTCTCCCTGTCTACGGGGTCTAAAGTCCTGGTTTTCCATGCCCTGGTCCAGCTCAGGAGAGCCAGCAAACAGTCCTGGGCCCTCTCCCCTGCTGGTAGGGGATTTGTTCAACTTAGACTTACTCACCAACCCCACATTTTGGGCACTGCCTTCACTGTTTCCACCCCACTGTAGAGAAACCCTCCTCCAGTAGGTGCTTTCAGTGATGCCGAGTTGGGAGCACGGAGTTCAGAGCAGAACAAATCCCTCGTTTTACATGGTGTGGATGTCTCCTCCTCACAGTACAAGGGTCTCAGAGGGGAAGACTCAGCACAGATTACATGGAACCAAAGACTCAGGCTAGGGGTGGGGGCTAAAGTCACTTCAGTAGCCCTGTGTAGTTTTGCACCTGGTTGGTGCCCAGGTGTGGTTCTTAAAAAGCACCCCATTTTCATATTCAAAAATGTCCTTCTTTGGGCAGTGCATTCTGTGGTCACCTTTCTGTTGATCTTGGTGACAGGGACAGGGAGTGGGGGGCTATGGAAAATGGAGTCCCTCTCCTCTCCTCATCCCAGCAGGCCCCACCTACTCCCCTCCCCCATCTCTGAGGATGGTGCAACTCTGGCATCGTGTTGCCCAATGTGCCACTTGGCTCACAGTGATCCCAGCGTCCCAGTGCACTTCCCCTTTAGGGATCTGTGGTCACTGAACATTGGGGACAGGGGCGGATTACCCAATAAGCAAGGCAAGCATTGGCTTACTTGTGCTTACTAATCTGTGGTGAACATTTTCCCATGGGTTTCGCCTGCTTTGTTTACTCGGGTACGTGGTTTCTGTCAGGGACGGTCGATTTGAAATGAGGTTTTCATTCCATAGGGAGGTGCTGTGAGGTGACGATGGGAGAGAGACGGATGCCAGCCATACCTAGTAGCAGGATCTTTGATATGGTGAAAAAATGTGAAATTGTTCTCTATAGGTTAATAAGTAAGCACAAGCATGCTTGTGCTTACCTTGCTTATTGGGGAATCCAGCACTGTCTGGGGACCAGCATGCAGGCAGTGGGAGCCCCAGATTTGCTTAGCCTGCAGCAGCTCCTCAAAATATATTGGTAGGAAGTATGGAGAAAGGTGCCTGGCCCCCTGTCTCCATCAGGCGGTGAGCCAACAGTGAGTCTCCCCGATAAACAGCGTCAGGGAATCTGGGAGCCAGGTGGACTGTAGTGGAGAGGGGTCTCTCCACATCTTGTCCTGTGACTTCTACCTAGGAGGGGCGGCAATGGGGACCTGGTACTTGTCTTGTCCTGTTGGTGTTGCCAGGTCACAAGACTCATATCCTGGGGAGCAGGGCTGGAAGTTCTTGGACCTTTGAAAATGTAGGTCATTTGGCATCTGTTGGCTAGTGAATTTCAGGTCTCTTAAGTGGGATCCCAGCATCTCAACATCCTGGGGGCAAGGACTGGGTGATCAATCGGGCATTTCCTCTTGTCCTCGATGTAGCATCCAGAGGAGATGAGGGGCTAGGCTCAGAGCAAGAAGGATGAAAACCGATACCAAAGACAAAGAGGCCACTCAGAGGGCCAGCCTTGGCTCAAATGCACCTGCCCCAGGCTCAGCCACAGCTGCCCACTGGCCCCCAGCTGGTCTAGACAGCCTCAAAGTTTGGAGAGTCAGGGACAGGATCTGCAGAAGAAAAAAGAAACTGAGTAAATGGGGGCACCTTTGTGTTTCCCCCCCACCCCAATATCACATCATAAGGCTCACAAGCCTGGCACATGACCTAGCACATAGTAAATCTGTTTGCTGCAGAATTCACTCTGACTACTCACTCCGGTGCATACTAAGTATGCAATAACTTTTGTTTATCATTATTGTCATAACTATAATTGTTCAACTGGTAGATACATTTTTCTTTTTTTCTCTCTCTCTGGAGATACTGTTCTCCAGGAAGGATTCTATTGTGGCTCCTGCTTATCGATAAAGATCTAAAATGGTTAAAAACTGTCAGACCAGAAGCCAAGGGAAAGACAGAGTGAGAATTCCTGCCAAAAACAAGAGTCGCCATGGGTACTCTGAGGTCATGGGATAGGGTCATACTCACCCAGGGATGGGAAGAAGACATCCCCGGGCCCTGGAGGAGACAGAGGTGTGTTGGGTTCGGAGAGCAGGTGCCGTCCTGACTCAGAGGGCTGCCTCTGTGCCACATATGATAGGGGGGGCCTGGGTTTGGCCTCCGGTCTCCCCTGAACAGATGGAGACGTCTCAAAGCCAGGGTTTTCAATTCCTTGAGTGTTGCTGCCAGAGAATCCAAATGGAATCAGGTCATTTGTGCTGCCTAGAGTATGGCCTCTGCCTTCCCCACCTCCCTCATGCTCCCCAAACTCCTTGTCTCCTCCCTTCACCTCACCTGCCTTCCCAGCCACAGGCTACACTACACTCTCCCCACGAGAAAGACCAGAGAGAAAGGGCAAGCGCTGTGCTGCCTCTGAGCTGAGAGAGGCAGGGCAGCCATCAAAACGATCCCCGCCCTTCCCTGTGCCCAGCTGGCAAGCCTAGGGTCAGAGGGTCAGCGAATGACATTGGGATTGAGCATCCAAAAAGTTACCTTGAGCTGAGGCAGGGGTTGGCAACAGAACTACCTCACAAGCCCCGTCCAACTCAGATCCTAGCAGGGGTGCTAATGAAACTTCTTGGACCGGTTTTAAAGATCCTCAAACAGTCAGAGGAAGCTGTGGGCCTGGTGGTGCAGGTACAACCCCTGAGTAGGGCTCATTCCCTGAGCCCATCCTCCATGCCAGCCTAGTGCCCAGAGAGTAGCAATGCATGACTTCCTACCCACTGTACCCTGAGTTGCTGTATCCCACTGGACCCTTTCAGCCTCTGCCATCCCAAGCTCAGCTGCTTCCTTCCCACACCCACCCGCCCCTCATCCTGGTCAAGTTGACTGCTGAAGCCCAGCGCTGGGGGCATGACCCCTTGGGGCAGTTGCAAAAAGAACAGCCAGGGCAGACAGCTCTTCTGACCAGCTGTGGTAGACTGTTGAAATGGACACTCCCTACTGCACAGGGGGGACCTGGTACAGGGAAGGCCAGAGCAGTTTGACCCACTCCTAACGCCTTATCCTGGGCCCCTTCATGAGACAACCAAATACAAGAGAGGAGATAAGGAAAGGATGCTGGTGTAGGGGTAAGCAGGAGAGTCCTCTTTCATGGCTCAAGGTTACCCACCCCCCACTTCCTCATGAACGCAGTCACAACTGCGTGCAGAACGTGCCCTAGGAGTCACAGACCCAGGGAGAAGCAAGTGTGGGATCCCAGGCTGTGACTCAGGGCATGGAGTGTGAGGTGGCATCAGGGAGTTTTCTCCCAAGGGTCTCCACAGGACCTTACCTGTCCATCCGCACCAGCTCCTGGGCACCTAGAAACAGACAGACAGGATCCCATCATAGAAGGGAAGTCTTCCCTGACTCTATTCCCACCCAGTAGCCCCCCAGGAAAGGAGTGAGCCCAGCTGGATTCCCATTGTGTTCACCCAGAGCACAGTGCTCTGTTGTCTTCAGCAGGTTGGACCTGAAGGGGAGGACTGTTTGGCTCACTGACAAATGAAACTCAGTCTGTGTGTTTCGAGTGTACGGGAGCACGTTTGCCACCAGGAACCTGTAGGCAGCCAGTGTACTCCCTGTGGCATGGCCTGGCCAGTGCTGGGGCAGTGGAAGCCCAACAGAAGGCCTGCTCCTCACTTGACTCATCTTTAGCCTTGATTCACTGGGGGGAATGTGCTATAAAGTCTGTTCCTAATTTGAGATTTCCTGGCCCTCTCTGTCCCTTGTTATACATGGCCTAATAGGGTGACTTTAGAAGGGCAGGAGGTAACATTTTTCAAGGGAACCCTAGGGGGCCTACAGACCCCATCATTTCTCAGCCTTTCTACCATCTCATCCAAACTGCTGCTGCCATGTCCAGCTCTAGGGGTTCCCCACCCCTAAATTGTCCACCACCTTGTGGGCCCAGCTTCCCTCTTTCTTGCAGCTCTTCCCCCCCCCCCCCCATGCACTCCCATAGACCATTCTACTGCAGGGCTTTACTAATGATTACTATATGGGGCTTCGCGAGAACACACATGAGGAAGTTACACAAAAGTTCCCAAAATCTTGAGGCATTGTCACGTCTTACTGGGCAACTCCTATGTGTCAGGCTTCACGCAGGTGCATTACATGTATCTCTCATCCCACCCGCTCCCATCCTCTATGGGCTAGTGCTTGTCATTGTTGTAGAGCTGAGAAAACTGCATCCTCATATAAACGAGGTAAGAATCCACATCCATCAGTCCCCACATCACCAAGCTGTCTTCCTGAGAGCTGTTCACAGCACTGCTCTCTCTCCCTGTTTCTTTTTTCTTCAAAAATACTTTTTACTAGGTCATCGCCACCTTTGTTACTCCAGATACTAAATCTGTGGACAAGCATATGTATTGAATAACTGCCATCCCAAAAGTGGGGTTATTTAGAGTTTTGGAGATGTGCTCAGCATGGACCACAGTCCTCCTGTCTCAGTCCAGTTCATCAACATCCCTCAGACCTCTATTTTTCCTGGGGCATGAAAGAACCCTTCAAGGAAGTCCCCAGGTGTCAGAACTTAGACTGGAGGGTCACAGAGAATGGAACACAGAGACTGAGAGCTGCCCATGTTCTCAGGATCCCCTTATTGTGTTTGGTCTGGGGCTGTCCCTCTCCGATCTTCCTTCCTCAACCACTAGCAGTTCCCCTGAGGGAAAACGTTGCTGTCTTTCTATCTCCATTCCTCTTCCACCCCAGAGAGGCATTGGCTGGGACTCAGGGAGAGTCCCGGGCCTACCCTGGCAAGCTGATAGGGAGGGCGGGGAGGCAACAAAGGCACACAAATTCCCTGCCCCCCCGCCCACACACACTGACACACACCATCCTCCCTTTGACTTAGTTAGCTTTCCCAGTTCCTGTTCCCTGTTCTGTTCACAAGGCAGAGGTGGCCTGTGGCCTGGAGTGTGGGACCAGACAGTCCTGTACCTAGAAGATGAGCCTAGCTGAGAGCTGTCTCCATCCTCCATGGAAGTGTTGTAGCAGGAGTTGATGGGGTCATTTCTCCCCCCGTGGAGCCTGGGCTCCTCTGTCTGTTTCACTCCTACCCTGCCTGTTCCTGTAGGTAGGTGTCCTGAGAGTAAGGATGAGGTGTACATAGCCGCTGAGTACCCCACTGTGGACTCTAGTTTAAGCTCCCAGAAGAGAGCCCAAAAAAAAACAAGATGTGAGCCAATGGCGACAGAGTCTGTTACTTCTACACCCAGACTGAGAAGAGGCCAGAGTAGACCAAAGACAGAAGACTCCCTTCCCTCCAACTCCCAAAGGCAGGACAAGGGTCAAAGGTGTTTGTGACTGATTTGAAGCCTGGCACCATCATTTATTCAGTGTGCATTTCCTTGGGCAAGTCTGTTAACCTCTCAGTGCCTTGGTTTACTCATCTGTAAAATGGGGACCATAGTAGTACCAAACTCGTATTCTTATGTGGAATAAGCTAGAGGATGAATGCATGTAACAAGCTTGGCAGTCCAACCCCATCAGTTAGGGGTTATTGGCTATGCTATTGTTAGGAGACATTAAGTTGATTTCAGCTCATACTGATGCCACAAAACAGAGCAGAACTTCACCATAGAGTTTTCTTGGCTGTGGTTACCAATCGGGCTGCGAACCTCAGTCAGCAGTTCGAAACTACCAGCAGTTCTGTGGGAGAAAGATGACGCTTTCTGCTCCCGTGAAGATTTACAGCTTCAGAAACCCTGTACATGGTTGCTATGAGTCAGAACTGACTCCATGGCACATAACAACCTTGGTAGGAAGGAGCCCTGGCAGCATAGTGGATTACCAGTTGGGCTGCTAAACTGAAGGTCAGCAGTTTAAATCTACCAGGCACTTCTTGGGAGAAAGATGAGACTTTCAACTCCTATAAATATTTACAGCCTCAGAAACCCTATACAAGGTCACTATGAGTCAGAAGTGACTCGATGGCACACAACCACCAATCTTGATAGGAGCAGCTCAGCAGGTCTTTTTCCCACGACCACCCCCCCCCCACCTGTCACCTGCTGAGTGCCTAACTGTGGTGCCGCCAGGGCTCCTTAGGATGATCAGCTTGATGAACATTTCTGTTAAGTGGTGGGATTGTGTTCTCTGCAAAGACTGTGCGTGCAAAGCTCTGATCAGAGTATCTGGCAGGGATACTCACGGCGGTTGGAGGCAGCCTGCCTTTGCTTGTAGACAAGGAGCAGGATGAGGGGGAGGCAGAGGATGCCCACGATGCAGGCCCCGGTGGCCAGAGCTGCAGCCGTGATGTCTGGAAGGGCAGATGAAACCAATGTGAGGGCCCTGCCACCACCTGAGGGATGGCAGGCAGCAGCAGGGACCCACCTTTACCCAGGGCCTTCAGCCAGACTCTCAATGTCTGTACTGGTACCTTTACTGAGAGGTAGGGAAGGTCTGCTGATCTCCGAGAGAGCCCATGCCACCTCCCCAAACAGAGTGTTTACACCTGAGACAGCTCCAGAGATGAGGAAACCAAGTCTCCATCCCACCTCAAAGGGGGAGAAAGCTCGACCCCCTTGGGGTGCAGGTGGCTCCCTGAAATCACAAAGCAGATCCTTCATAACACCTCCATATACCCCACCCTCTGCCTATCACAGAGTTCAAGGTCAAAAGGACCCCTGACTCACTGGAGCAGGGCATCCCTCTGAAAGTTCTTCTTGGCCTCACACACCAATCATGGAGAAAATCAAACAGGGGACCCTTGCCCGAAAAAGTTGACATTTTCAACTTTTTAAATTACAAAAATTAAAGTACGTGTTTTAAAAAGATAAAGTGGTAGTCACTGTGAGCAGTTTCTTGTGTAGCCATCCAGATGTGACCCACACACATACAGTGCAGACCCAACATACGACAAATGCTTCTCCTGCTTGCCCTAGGGGAACAGCTCTCCTTGTTAACAAGATCTACTTCATTCTGCCTCAGGCTTTAGCACATGGCCAACCCTAAACTCGGTGAAACAGCCCTGAACTGGTAGATGTTTCGGTTACTTCCACATCTCAACCTACCTGATAATTAAGCAATGAACACCTGTGCATGCTCTTTGCTTGCTAGAGCCAGGGACCAGAACAAAAATCAGTTGGCCATCCAGATAATTCCTACTCATGGAGACCCACATGTGTCAAAATAGAACTATGGGGTTTTCATTGGCTGGTTTTTTGTTGGTGGTGGTTTTGAAACTGATTGCCAGACCATCCTTACAAGGCACCCCTGGGTGAACTGGAACCTCCAATATGTTGGTTAGCTGCGAGTTTCCACCACCCAGGTACATCCAAGCAGGTACACCTGTACATAAATGCCTCGTAGAGCAAGTGCTGAGCCAAAGAGTATGTACGTTTTCCTTTCGGTGTGTGCCAAATTGCCTTCCAAAAAAGACTATGCCAGTTCCCCATCCCATCAACAGCTTGGTGATGCTTGATTTATTTTAGCCCATCTGCTGACTCCACGAATTTAGCTGGGAACACACATGCCTGTGGCACTCTAACCAGCATGAATGCATTTCCTTCCTACTTTCAACCCTTCCCTCAGCCAAATGCTAGACCAGGATACCTTGTCATAGTGACAACCTCTCCTCCAAGGGTTCTGGAAAGTTGTAAGAGATGTGGTCTCACTATGTATGGGGGGTGGGGGGTGGGATGCAGGCTGTTTTTATTTTATTGTGCTGCTACACCACTGGATGGTGTAAACAAGCTTTCAGGGGTTTGTTCACGCTCACTGCGGAAGAGAACAAACTGTTTTTGGGCTCTTTAGAAGTACAGGAGCAGTTGCTGGGCTAATTACAAAGCTGGATGTACCACAGCTCTAGCTGCATTTTTGACGTGAAAGATTGAAAGTCAAAAACATTCTACAATTCAGACATCTCGAATTGCTAAACCACATTAAAGGACCTTATTGTGGGCAATATCTGAGAAGTGGGGTACAAAGAACTCTTTTCTAGTCTTCAAAGCTGGTCTCTCCAGGCTGTTACTAAGCAACATTTTGTGAGGTTCCTCAGGTGCTCATTAGTCCTACCCCTTGTCTGCTTAGGGGCTTTGGTGGGCTCCACTTTTTGTATCCCTGGGATAGGGCTTGTTGCACTTGGAACTGAGGCTGGGGCAGGGATTTGGGGACCAGCCACCCTTGGAAGCCTGGTTCCTCTGCAGTGTTCCCCAGGCCCCTGCAGCAATGGCCTGGCCTCCCACCCTGTGGGGAGAGTGTTTAGTGGCTGATCCTGAGCCAGGCTCATGCTGGGAAGGTGATTGGGTACTAGACCAATTCTAAAGTGGGTACCAGAGAGATGGGGCAGGGGAGACTGTATCCAGGGCCTGCCAGGTCCCCTCTGGCGCTCTGCAGAGGAGGGTTGAGTAGCCTGGTTCCCCAGGAAGGGGCTGGATCATAACAGACCGCATATCCTGCCATGTGGTTGAAGAGTTGGTTCTAGAGAAGAAGGGCTGCCTGGCCCCTCCCACAGCTCCTTGGCAATGTGGGGGCTGCTTAGACAGTTTCCCCAGTCTCCCTCCCCTCTTCATCTTGCCCTCAACTCATCCTCAGGGGGACCGGGGCTATCCTCGCACTGCTCAAGGCTCACACTGGACTTGGGCTGAGGTTAGAGAAGGAAACACACCAGCTTCCTGGCCGGAATCGTTAGTCCATCAGGTATCAAGACTGGCTGAGAAGCACGTGTCTTAGAAAAGCAGGGATTGGGGGTCTTTCTAACTGGAAGAAGCCATGGAGATGGTCCCCAGCTGCAGGCCCCAGGACTCACTCAACTAACCACTCACATGGGCCACCTGGTAACTGTTTGTAAGCCATCAGAAACGTGGACAAGTGTCCACTGTCTGCTCCATCTGCTAGCCACCCTGCCTTGGCTTGGTGAACTGATTTGGACTCGAAATCTGCATGGAGAAGTAGTAATACCCAACAGGTGCACAAGCATCGTTCTGAGCACATTTTATATCTATAATGTTGTTACAAGTGTCATCAAGTCATCTCAACTCATACAGAGTCCATGTGACGGATTGGCACTGCCCCCATAGGATGTTCTAGACTATAATTGTTATGGGGGAGTCCTGGTATGGCGCTGTAGGATCAGCACAAATCCATCAGCTATTCCTCGGAAATTTCATACAGGGTCCCTAAGAGTCGGTTCCAACTCGATGGAACTTAACAGCAAGAGTCTTTATGGAAGCAGATGACCAGGTCTTTCTCCCATGGAGCTCTGGATGGGTTTGAACTGCCAGCCTTTCTGTTTAGTAGTTAAAGCAAGTTACTGTTGTCCTGCCAGGCCCCTACATGACATGTGGTATATAGTGTACCTCATTTTAGACATGGAGACGTCTGGGAAGTGGTTACTATTAGAATCATCGTCTCCATTTTACAAATGAGAAAACTAAGGCACAGAGAGGTTAAGTAACTTGGCTGATTTCAGGGTCTGTATGGTGCCATCCTGGTGTGTATGGCACTGCAGGATAAGCACTCCACCACAAGGTCTATTTGAACCGCAAGGTCGGTGGTTCAAACCCACCAGTCGCTCCTAGGAACCCTATACAGGATTGCTATGAGTTGGAGCCAACTCAATGGCACTTAACAACAACACATTGCCTTTCAGGAGTGCAGTGGCTCCATATGATAAGCACTGGACTGTGAACCACGAGGTCCGCAGTTCGAACCCACCAGCTGTTATTTAGGGAAAAAGATGAGGCTTTCTGCTCCCATGAAGATTTAAAGCTTTGGAAACACTATACAGGGTCTCTGAGTCAGAGCTGACTCAATAACACTTAACAACAACATTGCCTTTCACTTAGCTTACAAACATATTCCATACATGTTTGATTATTTGTGTTTTTGTATTTTTAATTGCCAATATTTTAAAATTAAGAGAGTGTCCATAAAACATGTTTTCTGACTTGGCTTGAAAACTTTGTAGTTTTGGCAACCTAGGCCCCTAGCAGCAGTAGGAACTGCCCTTACAAACTGACTGTACTCTCTACCCCTCCCCCATTGTCTTTAACAGCTCCCTGGCCCCAGGACATTTTGAGGTTTTGACCCCTGATCCAGCTTTGGGCTAATGCTAGGGACTGCACTAGGTTTGAACTGCAAGGTCCTTGATTCAAACTTACCAGCTGCTCCTTGGAAACCCTATACAGAGTCGCCATGAGTCAGAACCAACTCGATGGCATGTAACAACAACCAGCCCCCTGAGAACACTGATTCTCATTCTGGGAGAAGAAAAGGGACATATTGGTTCCTATTCTTGGTGGGAAAACAGTACCTTGAAGAGTGGAGATGGTGCCCAAAGACTCCACTCCTTACCCAACCCAGAAGGTTAGCCAGTTTTTTCCTATCCAGGACCAGCCTCCGTGCCAGGACCCCTATAGCTTTCAGACTCAGGTTCCCAGAACCAGTGAGTTTGGAAAGGGATGCCAGCGGTCATAAAAGTCATCTCTCTGCCCTGAACAGCTGGGAGAGAAATATGTCTCTTTAGCCTCCTAAGAGCTGACTCACTGGGGACAGGGAAGCAGGTCATAGGGAGGTGTCGCAACTCTGTGAATTGGAGGGGAATGAAAATGTCAAAACTGAGAGTGCAGGTGCCCAGCAAAGGAAGCCTGACCCACTCTTGACATTCAAGTTCAAGGATTCTGCCTTACCCAGGACCTTTATCAGCCTGGTCCCTGGGTGTCCCAAAATCATTTCTTTTCCCTTAATTCCAGCAGCCTCCTCTCTAACAGGAGCTATGGTAGCTTAGTGGGTTGGTTACACATGGGGTTGCTAACTGCAAGGTCAGCAGTTTGAATCTACCAGCCACTCCGTGGGAGAAAGATGAGGCTTTCTGCTCCTGTAAAGATTTATATCCTTGGAAACCCTATTCATAGTGACCCTATATAGGGTTTCCAAGGAGCAGCTAGTTGGTTTGAACCACTAACCTTGTGGTTAGCAGACCAGTGATTATCCTACAGCGCCACGCCAGGACTCAACCATAAAGATTATAGTCTAAAAAATCCCATGGGGGAATGGGGCAATTCTACTCTATGTAGGGTTTCTGAGGCTGTAAATGTTTGTGAGAGCAGAAAGCCTTGTTCTTTCACAGAGGGCCTGATCTACTTGAACCGCTGACTCTGTGATTCTCAGTCCAATGCTTACTGTACAGAGCTGCTGCGCTCCCTCTCTAAAGTCTAGGTCAGAAATGGTGAACCTTTTTACTGCCAAGGGCCATTTGGATATTTATAACATCATTCGGGGGCCATATAAAATTATCAACTTAAAAATTAGCCTTTAATTAATTCACCCCTAATGTGATGGTTGGAACTGTGGTTGCCTTGGCAGGACCAGACTAAATGCTTTCACGGACCTTATACAACCCGAGGGCCGGTCATTTCCCATCCCTGGTCTGGTTCAAGAAAGATGAACCAACTGGGCATTTTCTCTCTCCATCCATTTGCATCAGGTTTCTCTAGCATCCCCTCTGTCTGTACCCTCCCAAGACTTGAATCCTGCAATGAAGTTTCAGAAAGTCAAGGTTGTCGGAGGTGACGGCAGTCCATTGCTCAGGAAGGGTGTGCAAACTGTCTTCTCTTGACACCGGGTCTGAGAGAGAGCAAGTCACTTCATCTGCCTATACCTCAGTTTCCTTGTCTGTGAAGGAGGGGGTCTCAGATGTGCTGTCTCTCAGGGCCCTGCAGCTCTGTGAGGGTTTATGGAGGAAGAAGTGGGACTAGGGGGTTGCTCAGAGTGGACAGAGCCATGAGGAAGTGAACATGAGAGTGACTGGCCAGGCATGAGTCACCCTGTCCTGTACACAGACCCTCATATTTGTGCACACAAAGTTGTAGGGAAAGTGATGCAGGAAGGAAGGGGCCATTTGGAGGGCCTTTCTCTGCCAGCACCAGGGAGGTGCCAGGAGGAAGTAAGGCTTGGTTCTGGGGGACACGTGAACTCTGCGGTGGCAGGGACAGGAGCCATGTGACTCGGCTCAGACTGAAATGTTTTTTCTCATTTCTCCCTTAGCTTCTCTATTTGTTGTTTTTTGGGGGGAAAGAATAGTTTGAGTAAGAAATCACCACAACCTTTTAGTTGGGTCTGGCTGGAGTAGGAGCCCCAGTGTAGCTGATCCTGTTCCTCAGTCAGGTTTGGTCTTTACTGGAGGGAAGGCAGGGTGGTACAGGACTGGTCCACACTAGATACTCATTAAATACTGGATAAGTAGAAGTATGAGGAAACCCATACCCTTTCCCCTCAGAAGGATGGTTGTTGTTAAATGTTGTCGAGTCATTTCTGATCCACAGAGACCCTGTATAGGGTTTCCGAGGAAGCAGCTAATGAGCTTAAACCACCACCTTGCAGTTCAAATGACTTTAAAGTCCAATGCATTATTCCACAGTGCCACACCACGACTCATAAAGGTGGGCCCCCCTAAAACTTCTTCCCTTTACCTACTTTCTCCAAGTTATTGTCACCTGATTGTGAGGGTCCAGGGGCCCATACAGCAATGTCCCCTCCCCCCATAGAGACCTCTGAGCAAACCAGGGGACTTGCTGCCACCAACTGCACTGTTTCCAGTCTCCTCCCAGCCCAGTGATGGGGAAGAGGAAGGCATGAAGCCTAGTCCTCACTGCCTTGTGAATTTTAGGAGTCATGTCATTTGTCTGAGCATCATTTCCATGTATGTAAAGTGGTACCCAACTCTCAGTACCAGGACTCCTGGTGTGGCACTGTAAGGTCAGCACTGGACTGTGACTCACAAGGTTGGCAGTTCAAAACCCACCAGCTGCTCCTCAGAAGCCCTGTACAGGGTCGCTATGAGTCGGAACAGACTCAGTGGCACTTAACAACAACACAGTGGAAGATGATAATGCCCACTTCATAGGGTTCTATACGAATGATCCGAGATCATGGTTCTTAAATGGACCTAGCACAGTGCCTGACACATCGTAGGAGCTCAAGGAAAGATAGTCCTCTTCCTCTTCTTGAGCCTCTCCCTCTCCCCACCTTACCCCACACATGGAACAAGGGATCTAAGTGGTGGAACCTCTCCCCCTACCTCCAACCTCCACATGCCCAGAGGGCTAGTGGGCAGGAGCAGCATTCACTGAAAACAAACTCTTGTCATGGGACATTTCCCCTGGCCAAGGATTAGGAACAGGGGCTGCCTGGGCAAGGGTCTCAACCTTCTCCCCCTTAGCTGAAGGAGAGGAGTATTAGGGGCTCCATGGTGATGAGTTCAGAGTTCAGACAGGGTCTGGGTCTAGGATGAGGAAAGAGAAGAGAGACTTGAGAAGAGGCAGAAAGGTAGGCTCTTACTTTCACTCTCCTCAAGGGAGGGTGGATACGCGGTGCATTTGAATGGTGTGTCTTTGCCTGTGGGGACAAAGAGAAGGGTCATTAGGTGGGGTGGCCGAGGGATGCTTTCCAGGTCAGCATCGCCCTCACATTTGAGGGGGCTTCAAAAGGTATGTTGGAAATGGAATTAAAAGATAATGGATTTTTTTTCCAGGGACTTTTGAAGCCTCCTCCTACCATGCATACGCTCACACACATACAGGCACTCATATGTGGTGCTGTAACACTGGACTGTGAACCACAAAGTTGGCAGTTCAAACCCACCAGCTGCTCCTAGGAAACCCTGTATAGGGTCGCTATATGTCGGAATCGACTCCACCGCACTTAACAACAACAGCAACACACACATTCAGACACATACACACTCTCTCACATGCACACAATTGTACACAGACTCACACTCAAACACACACAGTCTTGCTCTCTCTCAGATACACACACTGGTATGCACTGCCACTCTCATGCCACCCCCAGGGACATGTGGCTACTTGCCAGTGCCCAACCCTTTGCCCTCTCACCTGAAGACACATGTACACATTTCCCAGCTGCCATTCAGCTGTTCACTGACTCACACCCCCGGGTCACACGTCAGTCCTACTTTGTATATCCTCCTCACTGCCATAGTGTTGCCAAAAGCAGAATCTCCCTCCCAGCCAGGTACACACACCCCCTCACGTTAAAAAGTCCCATTGTAGATGGAAACTGTCTGTACTTTCTGTTCAATTTTTCTGTAAGCCTAAAACTGCTCTAACAAAACAAAATCTATTTAAAACAAAAAGTCCCATTTTCCAAAAAAGATCCAGTCATCACCCATCTATCACAGCATTACAGAGTCATTCCATCAGATACTCAGCGTCACACACCACACAGCATTCTCTTCTCCCGTCATAAGGCCACGCGGTCACGCCCTCACCTGACTGCACCTGCAACTCTATGGCCCCATGGACCCTGAGCACCGTGTGATGGTGCCGGAGCTCCACCACAAGGCAGCAGTAGAGGCCACTGTCCTCGGGCATTAGCTTGTGCACTGTGAGGGAGAAGTTGCCGTGGTGGTCCGAGGTCAACTCCAGCCCATGTTGATGGGCCAGGTCCTGGCTGGTGTTGATGGTCTGATGGGTCGAATGGTGCAAGTACTGTAAATTGGTGAGGTTGCGGATGGGCTGGTGCTCCAAGCAGGCCTGTACCTCACCTCGTGAGCTGAGGTACCATGTCTTGTAGAAGGTCACATCGTGTCCCTTGGATACAGGGCCCAAGATCCTGCAGGTGAGGGTGACATTCTGCCCCTCGGGGCACACATGCAGGGAATGCGGCGTGACAACCTTAAAGGCTGCCCCCAGACCTGCTAGGAGAGAGAGAGCTCAGTCACCTGTCTGATCAGCATCACTCCCAGTGCCCCCGGGTTGGAAAGAGTCCTGGCCCAGGGGGCCCCCAAAGATCTGGATTCTAGAAACTCCTCAGCCCTGCCCAGGCACAAGCCCTGGGCATGCCAGCTGACCAACACATGCCATCCCAGACTGTGAGGAGGAACCCCCCGGAGCTTCCCTAGAGGGATGGGGCAGAACCACTCTGGGACCAGCAGGCAGACTACACTGGGTGCAGCTTCCCCATCTCAGCCACCCTGACACTGCCCAGCACCAACAGGTGGCAGGCAGGATGGGGCGCTGGAAGGTCATTTGGTATCAGGAGTTTTTTTGTCCTTTGCTACCCTTTCCGAGGTCATCTGTACTTTTTGCCATCCTTCTCTTGGGGCTGAACGTGCCTTCCCATCCCCACATTTATGGGAACTAATGAAGCACCTATGTGTGCTACACTGTGCCAGGTAATGCCGCTCACCTGGATGAACTGACAATCAAGCCAGGCAAACAAGTCCAGCATTGGAGATAAAGCAACCCCACGGGGCATCAGGACACTGGGATGAGAGAGGGAAGAGCCTTCCTGGGAACAGTTGGGGACTTCCTGAAGGGCTTGATACAGATGAGATTTCAGCAAGTGGAGAGGGTGCCCTGGGCAAAAGGATGGAGCAGGAAAATCCAAGGGGTTTACAGAACAGGGACAGGGATACAGGGGAGGATGGTCAATCTTTTTGGTGTGTTTTTTCGTGTGTGTGTTTTGTTTTGTTTTTCAATAAGCAAATGAAGAGATCCCTTAATCCTCTTTACCCTGGCCAAACCCTCCAGCATTTAACCATGTAAACCCTCAAAAGCACTGGCCTTTAAGAACAGATGAATGAAGCTGGAGTTCAATCTTTTCTATCTAACTCTGTGAACTTCCGGTTCCTCATCTGTACAATGAGAATAATAATCAGCTACATGACAGGGCTGCCCAGAGGACTGAGTAGGAAAAAAAGATGCCAGCATGTGACATGAGTGCTAATGCCCTCTGTAGACATTAAAAGTTGGCTCTCATCGCTACTTATTAATGTTATTTCTCTTTTGATTGGTATCTCAGAGCTGCTGAAAGAGCAGCCCACAGGGGAGTTGTTGTTAAATGCCATCAAGTCAGGTCCAACTCATAGTGACCCTTTATAGAGTTTCCAAGAAGCAGCTGGTGGGTTAGAACTACCAACCTTTTGATTAGCAGTCCAGTGCATATCCTACAGTGCCATACCAGAATTCCACAAGAAAGTAGCACTCTGGAAATATGTGCAGAATTCAGTGGATTCTGCATCACCCAGCCAGGACACTGCCAGACCTAAATTAGCATCACTTCTCCTGCAAAGGACTCTCAGCCTGCTCATAGAGCCCAGGACCCTGGCAGCAGGCTGAGACCCACCAGCAGAGCTGAAAGCCACCAGTCAGGGGAGGCACCCTGGTGCAGCCTTTGAACTTGAACCAGTCCAACATCTGTGATCACTTTGATTCTAAGCCTTAGTTACTCACTATAAAAAATAAATGAAACTTGCTACCTGGCAGTACGGACTAGTAATAATTTTCGTGAGGTGTTCTTGAAACTAAGTGCTTTGGTCATAGTTGGTGCTTAATACAAGGGAGTTACGTAGGTCTCTAATCCATTTCAGCAACTCAACAAACATTTCCAAGGAAAGAAAAGCAGTTTTGCACAATGGAATAGGGAAGCCAGCTTCCAACTCCCTCTCACAGAGGTGTGAATGTGACTGATCACAGCTTGTGACTGGAAGCTGGTGTGTCAGTATATTTAGCTTTGGCCCCAGGAATATGTAGGGAAATTAGACACACACCCAAGTCCCTACCCTCATTGTGTCCAGACATGAAAGGAGCCTTGTAGTGGTTTTTTCCCCAGACGTCAGTCACAAGCTTTATTTTAGTGTGGCATGGACTTGCCACACTTCAACAATTCCAGTTTGGGGAGGGGAAGAATGTGGGGAGGGTATGAGGGTGGGACGGGGACCATGGCTTAGCTGGTACCCGGGCAGCCACACAGGACAGATGCTCACAGGAAGCCGTGCCTGTGACCCCCATCGGCCTGTGAGCTCGCCCTGGGTGGCTCCATCCCTGGTGGTACCATGTGCATGGGTCTCACTGTTAGACTAATCACTGCCTCCTACCTGCCTGTGTGGAAAACAACAGTATTTGATGCTGAATTAGGCCGCTAAAGCTTCGCTCTTCTCTTGTGTTGTTAGAAAACCACATGCGAATGCTACCCAAAGCCAGTGGGGCAGGGGGCCCAGGGGACTAACCTGCTGGCCCAGGATGGACTATGGGCAAGTGCATGGGCGTCACCCATTCTACCTGGGGTGCTCACTGAGGTACCTGAGCTGGTCCTAGGGTGGCTTTGCACACCCGGCCTGGTGTGTTACGGAAGACGACAGTGGGCCCTGACCTGAGGGATGGTGAAGTTGAGGCCAGGTGGGTCTGCTGTGTGATACTGACTTCTCCCATTACATGGAGACTTGAGGGGAAGAAGGGAGAGATCAGCTAGATTTCTCTTGTTCCCCCACGCCACTTGGGGGCTTTACGTAGAAACAGCAGACAGGGCAGAGGTGGAGAGGCGGTGTGTGTAACACATGTGTCCCTGGATGCTCAGCCACGTGTGCCTGGGGGTGTACCTTCCTAACACTTCCTAACACTGTGGCCTGGCCTTGGGCAAACGCCTCAGCTAGCAGCTGGCAGGGAATGTAAGTCTGTGCCTATGTCCCACGGGGAGGGGAGAAGTCCTGCCCACCTGTAACATGAACCTGGGGGTCCCGCTGGGCAGGTGGCGAAGGGAAACTAGTACCGCTGTTTGAAGGGGGCTCACTCAGTAAGTGGGGACAAAAAGCCCTGGGGGCCCCCTCATCCTGAAAATGGCTTTGGAAAAGGGGTCCCACTCGTTCCTGCAGACTGGACTCACTTCCTGGGCCCTTACCCCCTGGTCCCTTCTGGGGCCAGTGGCAGCTCTAGGGCCCCAGGCACTTAGGGGGCAGAGGGAGGTAAGGGGGCAGAGGGAGGTAAGGGAGAGCAGGGAACCACACGGGTCCCAGGGGCTGTTTGTCAGGGTGAGGAGACTAGGAAAGGGCCTAGCTGGCTGGCCTCTAAATTCTGGGAACTGCAGGGCATCCAGGCGTCCAGACTGAGGTTGTGGGCCCAAGCCAGGGCTGTGCCATTCTCTGTGGAAGGCTGTCCCTGAGGAAGTCTCCTGGTTTGGAAGGGGGGATTGTCCACAGCAGTGAGTACAGTTGAGTATGTGATCCTTACAAACACTGTTCTTGTCTCCAAAGTGACAATCCTGGCCCCTGCCTGGAGAGGGCGCCACCAGGGCAGGCCCTCAGTCCCTAGTGTGGACTGGGCCGCTTCACTGGGTCACTCAGGGTCAGTGCTTTTGCTCCTGTTTGTGGGTCTTGTCTTGCTGGTGAATGCCATTTGCAGACGCAGAACGACTGAGGACCTGGGACTTGTCGGGACAGTTCCGCATGGCCTCCATGAGCTTTTCCACCTGCTGGGCTGGTCCAGCGCATCACACAGTGTGTCCTCTGTGCTGGTTAGCTCAGGCGTGGTGGTGAAAGGATCAATGAGGGAATAGCGCCTCTGCTCTGACAGGGATTTCTCTTTAACCAGCCTGGTCAGCTTCTCACGCAGGCCCTGGATGTTACCCTTGAGCTTCTCCTTGATCCGTCACTCGGCCTTGTGGACCTCTCGGCTCAGGTCCCTCTCAAGTCGTGGGGAGTGGTCGTTGGCTTCCAATATCAACACCTGCAGCTTATTCAGGCTTTGCTCTTCTTGGAGCAGTTCCTGACTGATGTGCACCAGCTGGCCCAAGACATCATGGGTCTTCTGGGACATGGCCTCCAGCTTGGCCTCCAGGCGCCGTTTCTCCTTCAGGATGCTGTCCATCTTCTTCTCTCTGGACTTACACTTGCTCTCCAGTGCACTTACTTGAGCCCTGAGCATTTCAACCTGGGTTGTCAAAGCGGTCACTTCTTTGTCCCTCTTTTTGAGCTTGTCCTGCAGGCCCCTCTTGAGCAGGTTGCCCAGCTCTAGCTGGTGCTCCAGTGTGACGCCTTCCATCATGGCCTTCAGCTCCCCAGTCTCCTTCTGCTGGGTGCCTGGGCCCGAGTTCAGCATGGTCTTGAGGTCCTCCACCAGGGGCTTATGGTGGTCAGGGGCCAGCAAGTCCAGCTTGGACTTCAACTTGTCCAGGAGCCCCATGTTTTCACTGGTGGCCTGTTGGACTTTGTCCTTGCAGTCTGCCACCTCCTGCGCGTACTTCTCGTTGGCCACCCACAGCTTCCGCACCTCGGTCTGGTAGGTCTTCAGCGTCTTCTAGTAATTATCCCACAGCGCCCCACTGTCCTGCTGCTACTCCTAGCTGGTTGACAGCAGCTGTTCGCGCAGCCAAAGGCTCTCCATGGCCTCAGGGTGGTTGGCAGGCGGTGGGTTCAAGCTCCTGGATCTCACAGCAGTGCAGGCTCAGCTCCTCCAACAGCTGCAGGACCCGAGACTTCTCAGCCACCATCATTAACTCCAGATCTCCCTTGGTGATGGACTCTTCCTCCACCCGGAACTGCAGGCCCTCCTCCTTCCACCTCTCCTCCTCCAGCTGGTTGGACAGGTCTACCTCCTTCCAGACAGTCTCCACTAGCAGCCGCACATGCTGCAGTTTCTCCTCTGCAGCCTTCTGCAACGTACTACTCATGCTGCTCCTTGAGCAGGGCAACCTCCTTCTCCACCTCACAGATGTGGCTGGTGGCCTTGGCTACCTCCGTTCATTCCAGGTCCCACTCAGCCGCAACTGCTCAATGTGCTGCTGCTTCTCCTTCAGCGCCTCTTGCAAGGCTGTTGTGCCCGAGATCTTGCGGGCATAGTACAAAGAGGTCTCTGTGAGCAGGCGACTGCGGTTGGGCCAGCCCCCCATGGAGGATGCCTCAGAGCTGATGGAGGAACTGCTGGGACTGTGGGTCAGCGCCGAGACCCCCATGGCCATGCGCTTAGTCTTCTTGACTTTGGCCAGGCTGGTGGATGGGAAGCCAATGTGGATTACCTTGTGGATGGGCGTGAAGAGCCCAAACTTGGGTGGACACTGGAAGTACCTGGTGCCCACCACGGCCCCATCATTCTTCCCAAGGGGCTTGTCCAGCTCCAAACCACACCACTTGCCCTTAGCAGTCTGTCTCCCCGACATACCACACTACACCAGTCTTCGTCCCACCAACCAGCACACGGTTTCCCAGGTGCAGGTCCTTGTCACCCTTCTTCACTGAGCCACTGTCTGACAGGTTTGAGTCCAACTCCTTGCCCATCTTGACCTAGCTGTTGAGGATGCTCTCCCACAGGGGGATGATGTGGCTGGTCAACGGGGGCATGGCTGTGCCCAAATGTCAGCTTGAGGACTAAGGTGCACCTGACCCAAGCCTTGGGTTTTTCAGTAACCTCATATGCATGCAAAAGCTGGACAGTGAATAAGGAAGACCACAGAAGAATTGATGCCTTTGAGTTATGGTGTTGGAGGAGAATATTGAAAGTGCCATGGGCTGCCAAAAGAACCATTAGATCCATTTTGGAAGAAGTGCAGCCAGAGTGTTCCTTAGAGGCCAAGATGGCCAAACTTCGTCTCTCATACTTTGGACGTGTTGTCAGGAGGGAGCAGTCACTGGAAAAAGATATCATGTTAAGGTGGAGGGTCAGAGAAAAAGAGGAAGACCCCCCAATGAGAAGGATTGGCCAAGTGGCAGCATCGATGGACTCAAGTGTGGCAACAATAGTGAAGTTGGCCAATGTTTGGGCAGTGTTTCGTTCTGCTGTGCATAAGGTCACTATGAGTCGGTACCGACTCGATGGTACCTAACAACAACAACATTGATAAGGTGGGCAGGTATTTCAGCAGAACTTGTTTGGCAATATGCCAGACTACTTTGTCAGCCAAAAACAAATACCAATTGCCGTAGAGTCAACCCTGACTCATAGAGACCCTATAGAACAGAATAAAACTACCCCTATAGGGTTTCCAAGGCAGAGCAGTCAGTCTTTTCCGAAACATCTTTCTCTGTGGAGCAGTTGGTAGGTTTGAACGGCCAACTTATCAGTTAACAGTCAAGCACTTAATTGCTGCACCACCAAGGCTCCTTAGGGATAATTTGTTGTTGTAAAGTGCCGTCCAGTTGGCGCCGTCTCATAGTGACCCTGTATAGGGTTTCCAAGAAATGGCTGGTGAGTTTAGACTGCTGACCTTGTGGTTATCTGTCCAGTGCTTACCCTACAGCACCTTATCAGGACACCAAAAAATAAGTACTATATTTAAGCCCTGGTGTGTCACTTAGGACCAGCACTAGACTGATAACCACAAGGTTGGCAGTTCAAACCCACCAGCTGCACCTCAGAAACCCCATACAACGTAGCTATGAGTTGGAACTGACTAGATGGCATTTAACAGCAGCAATTTTTATTCTCATTTCACTGATAAGGAAACTGGCAAAGAGAAGTTAACTCAGTGAAGACCACCACACAGGAAAGAAGTGTTAGCTAGACCTAGAATTCAAACTCTGACATTACTAAAGGAAAAACTCAGAAACTGGCAGCCCACAATCCACATCGAATCTGCAGACATTTCTTATTCCAACTTCAAAGTATTTACTTTATTTAAAGGATTTCTAAAATTTTGACTGTAGTTATTTACAAACTCTGACATCTCGCGTCTCTTAGAAAATCAGGAAATAAGACTAAACTGTGTTTCCCACAAGACCACCATCAGCCGGAGTTGAGTAGTGCGCCCCCTCACCTTTAGATGGAGCATTGGCACTCCAGTTTGCCGCTGTTCCATGCCCCACTGGCCTGCCCTGCTCCTTCACCATAGCTGCTTAGCCCTGTGAACAACTGACTGGTGTCCTTAGGCTGTAGCGGGTGGGACTCACTGCCATCACCTATAGAGTGGCTCAGAGAGGAGACGAGCCACACAAGGTCCCAGCAGAGCTGGGATAGAACCAAGTCTCCTCTAGCCAACCTGTGCACCAGGCTCATTGGAAGAGCCCCAGACAGCCTGGCTGCAC